AGAAAAATCTTTATCTTAATTAGTCAATTAGCTATTAGGAGTAAGGAAGAAGAAAGACTTTTTGGCCTGTCAAACCAATTCCTTGAACGATAAGGTGTAGAATTAAAAAATCTAAAGGGAAATGATACAGAACTTGAGCATTATTGGATTTATTTAAGGTTAAATTCCTATTTTGATCCCTGAACTATTGTATGGATCTTCAATTTGGTCCTTTAACTAAAGAAATTCTTGATTTGGTCCTTAAATTATTGTAGAACCCCCGATTTGGTTCCAGTGTTTATAATTTGACCTAATTTGGTCCTTGAACTATTATACGGACTCCTAATTTGGTCCTTACTGTTTACAATTTTGCTCCAATTTAGTCCCTGAGCTATTGTTTAACAAAAAGACCAAGTTGGGGCTAAACTGGTAAACAGTAGGGACCAAATTGGAGATCTGTATAATAATTTAGGGATTAATTCGAGGTCCGTACAATAGTTTTGGGACCAATTCAAGGGTTCATACAATAGTTTAAGGACCAAATTAGAGTTTTTTTAGTTTAGAGACCAAATCGAGGGTGTGTACAATAATTCAGGAACCAAAATAGGGTTTAATCTTTATTTAATCCAAGTGTTGACAATTCCTCGATTGTTCTTTTTCGCTACATATTTTCAACTTTACAGCTTTGCAGCAAAGGACTTTGATCATCATTAACCAATATTACGTCTTCTATTGCTTTTCCCCATATCACAGCATAAAACCCGAGGGATATTACTACTGCTCCAATCACACTGCAACACCAGGGTCAAAAGATTACACGCAAGATTAGAAATATAAAATCATCAACATAAATATATAAGAGGGTACCTTCCAAGATGCAGAGCATCTCCTAGGAAGAGGGCGCTCATAATAGCTGCAATGGCAATTGCCAATGGCTTAAAAATGGCTACATAAACAGGCCCCTTCAGGTGCAAACACCATGTCATCACAACACTTATGATTGATGAAATAAATTCCTAAGCAGACACAAACAGCTTATTTTAACAACACTACCATATATATAGTCTGTGATTTTTAGAATATCATTAGTTTATGTACCGAGTATATGACTGCAGCAACTGCTATTCTTGGCCTTAGAATCCAAGAACTGAGGTTTGGTTCTGCTATTAAGCATACTGGCACGGACACAATGGTTCCAAAGAGATTGCATAAGAAGACAACGTTGAACTCTGCTGGGTATATCTTCATGACTTGTGCCTGCAATGCGGTATGGTATTCAAGTAATCTTCATTGAAATTTTTTTGGTGTACAAAATGCATATTTACAACTGAAGATTTATCTGATGAAAATACCTGAACAATGTACCCGATCGAAAAAAGAAAGTTTTCAGCAAAAAGCAGGAGGCCTCCAATGAGCCAATTTGATTGTGATGACCCTAGAGGCCATTTAACTGAAACAGATGATGCAAAGGAAAAAATTGTTGGGCCCTTGTAGAAAAGAACCACTAAGGCACCTGATATTGAGACCATTGTCCCTATGACTTTTGCCTGAGTACTTGAGCTTCTGAAAACCAATCTTTCCATCCTTTTTCATGGCATCAAATAAAGAAAGGATTATTAAACTTCAGTGGATGGACAAAGATAAG